CGTCATAGCGCATCGCGATTGCGACCAAGCTTCTACTCACCACTCCTCGCCGCGGGAGTCGCGAATGCGCCGAGCCGAAGCACAACGCGCCCACGTCCAACACCACCACGTCGCCAGTCGCATGGGCTGCCTCACCTCGGCATGAAGATCGTTTCGCCCCGGGATCTCAGCTATCCCGTCACCGTCATCGACCTCCTTAAGAAGCGCGACGATGACGTCCAGCGGTCGGGCAAGCTGTTCAACTACAGCTATGACAGTCGCGTCACCGAGGGCGACAAGTGGGGAGGCGAGAAGACGGTCATGAAGAAGTTCAGGCAGACGTTTGCCGCGAGCACAGAGGGAAAGATCACGCGCTGGTTCATCAAGCCCGGCACCGTCATTGAGCGATATGGGTAGGCCTACTGCGCGCTTGCTGCGCGCGCAACATGCTAACACGCCTGCAGAACTCCACTCCTCGAGATCGAAGAGCCATGCACGCACGAGACACAGTTTGGCGGCCTCTGCGTCGACTGCGGCCGCGACATGACGCAGGTCGACTACCTCACCAAGGAGCTCGATGTCGGACGCGCGACGGTCAACATGGCGCACGACAACACGGCCCTCCTCGTCAGTCACAAGGAGGCGGTAGCGGCAGAGGAGGACGCCAAGAAGCGCCTGTTGAGCGCGCGCAAGCTGACCCTCATTGTCGATCTGGACCAGACCGTCATCCACACCACCTGCGAGCGCACCATTGCCGAATGGAAAGCCGACCCCGAGAACCCGAACCACGATGCCGTCAAAGACGTACAAGGCTTCCAGTTGGCCGACGACAATGTCTCCAACGTGGCTGCAAACTGGTACTATGTCAAGATGCGCCCAGGCCTCAAGGACTTCTTCGACCGAGTCTCGAAGCTCTACGAGATGCACGTCTACACCATGGCCACCCGAGCCTATGCGCAAGCCGTCGCAAAGATCATCGATCCCGAGCGCAAGTACTTTGGCGACCGCATCCTCAGCCGCGACGAGAACTACACAGACAAGCTCAAGAGTCTGACGCGGCTCTTCTACCAGAACACAGCCATGTGCGTTATCATTGACGACAGAGCAGACGTCTGGCAATACAGCCCGCACCTCGTCCGCGTGCCCGTATTCAACTTCTTCCCCGGCGCTGGAGATATCAACGCGAGTTTCCTCCCTAAGCAGCAGGAGCTTGTGTCCTTCGCAAAGGACAAATCGCCCCCGACCCCGAAGAAGGCTATAACTGAGAATGCGACCACGAACGTGGTCTCCGTCCCAAGCAAGCCGCTCGAGACCACGACCGAAGCCACGAACGGTGACCTGAACGAGCTGGGACAACAACTCATATCATTAGCAGCGACTGAAGACTTGGAGGAGCAGGCCAAAGAGCAGGAGAAGCTCATCATCGCGCAACAAACAGAGCGGCCTTTGCTGCAACAACAGCTCATGCAGGACAGGGAGGATGAAGAGTCACCTGCCGAAGTTGAAACTCGCGACTCACGACCGGTCGAACAACCCAAAGTCCGACACAGTATCCTCAACGACGACGACAGAGGACTTGACGTCATCGAACACAACCTCAACCTCGTCCACCGCACATTCTACGATGAATACAGGAAGGCCAAGAAGGTGCCAACAGGCGGTCGTGTGGCTGAGCTCAAGGGCGAGAAGAGCCCAAAGAAACGCTCCATGGAAGAAGACGTCATTCCTGATGTAGCCGAGATTATGCCGCGCATCAAGAGCGAAGTGCTCGACGGTGCGGTAGTTGTCTTTTCTGGTATCATTCCGCTTGGTGTGGACGTCCTGACGTAAGTACTCGACAGGGAAGTCGCAGAGCGCAGCTAACCTTTCGCAGATCGGACTTCGCACTATGGATCGGAAGCTTTGGCGCAGAAGTTACCACGAACGTTACCCGGCGAACGACCCACGTCATCGCCAACCCCGATCGCAAGACAACCAAAGTAAAGCGAGCCGCCCGATACCCCCACATCAAGATCGTGAACCCCGAATGGATGTTCCAATGCTGCACCAGATGGGAGCATGTAGACGAGACACCCTACATAATCGAGACGGACGCGGCGGAGCGAGGCGGCTCACCCATCGCCGACCTTGAAGATGAGAGTATCGACGGAACAGGCGATGAAGCCGCAGACAATGCGTCCCCCGTAGTCGAAATGTCAAACGACGACTGGGCACAGCTCGACGACGAGCTCGCTGATTTCATGAACGAAACCGACACAGACGGCGGCGGCAGCGAATCAGATTCCGACAGCGTCCGATCCGATAACAGCACAGCATCAGATACCCAGCAACAAGCCGCCAAGAAGAAGCGGAAACGCACAAACTCCACCGACGTCAGCGAGACGGAGGAAAGCGATAGCAGCGTCAACAGCACTACCTCGCGTCTCCAACGGCGGAAGAAACGTACCATGGAGCGGGTGACGTCACTCACAAATGTCGTTACCGCTGATAAATCTGGTCTACCCAGCCCAGAAACCACGGGGCCGGAAGAAGACCAAGGAGAAGGAGAAGGAGACGGTGACGACGAGGAGATGAAGAATCCTGAAGCAAACGGGACGACGGCGCCAGATCTCCAAGACGACTATGACGATGGCCTTGAAGCGGAGTTACTGGCTGGCTTTGGGGATAGTGATGCTGAGGAGTAGTATTTGACCCGTCGACCTAGGAAAACTGAACACCATGGAAGCTACATCACCATTTAGTTTTGTAGTTTTACTTACTTTATCCTGGTGTAGTCTGCAGACCTGTTCATCCTTTTTCGCGTACAAGGTGACTGGTTCCATGTCTTCTTCACACGGGTATGATTTTTTTTGATGTAAGAGGGTGGTGTGTGGCTTGCGATCTCCAAGTATCTGTCTTACCTGCATAGCGAGGTGTTTTTGGCTGTTTGGCGTTGCTTATTACTTTATACATATGGTTCGTTTTGGGGATACGCTCGCTTTTGGGTGGCGAGGGGTTGGGGTTGGGGTGGTGCTTCAGGGGGAATTGGGACTGGCTAGATTAGATCGAGGGTGAGGGAGAGAAGGCTGTTGGAAGCGAAATGCAATGATTGAACACCCTGGAGTCTATGTTGACGTTGGGTCATCTGCTTTGTATGTTTTTATCTTGATGTAGGCTGCAGGCTTGATATCATGTCTTATTACTGAAGGGACTGTTGAAGTGATGTTACATTGCGCTCGTCCCCATTGTTGCCTGAGACCGCTGACTGACTGCCGACTGCCGCTCTGTTACGTTCACACACCAGACTTTCCCGCTCGTGACCTGATCTGCGACGTCGGATATGAGTGTGGTGGCGGCGGCGGTGGCGGAGCAGGAAATCACAATAACACACCACATACCAAATCAGCATACGGAAACAATTCGCGATTCCTTCGAAAATGCAGAGCGCATCATTGGCGTTTCTCAGCGTTACCCCGAGTTGAGCATCCTTTATAATGCTTCGTTCGGAAGCCATAATATTCGCCTTGATGTTCCGCCTTGCACAGCCCCTGACTCCGCCCACGGGTTGATTGTCCGGGTAAATCCATGGATGGTGGGTGTGGTGTGCATCGCTTAGAAGTTTGGAAGGATTCAAGCTTGGAAGGGGGATATAAGCTTTTGGGGTTCTGCTTGTTTTGAGGATTGGAGTGTAGGGACTTTTGAGGAGATACTGTGTAGTATACATCGCGACTATCTCACAACTAAGATCTGTTTACCCACCTACCTACAAGCTTCACACACATTCCTACTATCGAGCTCATCTCTACGCGCCTGCCATTCTATCACCTTATCATCGTACCAACACCACCACCACCCCAAACCCTGACCCAAAACTCTTCCAACACCCACCCAAAATGGGCTGCATGACCTCTTCCCTCTCGCCCAAAAACCCTCACTCGGAGCAATGGGCTGCCCCCGCCGACACCACCAACGCGAATCCCTCGGGCAACGAACACGGTTCAGATGACGATGAAGAGGGCCCAAAGAAGTATGATCCTGCGGCTGCGGGGAGGGAGATGGCTAAGACGGGGAGGACGGCGGGAGGGATGGCGTATGCGGCGATGGGGTCGGAGGCATATGGAGGGCCTGTTGCTGGGTAGAGGGTGAGGTTGTGAGAGATGGAGAGGAAGGAGGATGTTAGAGATGCAGATGGAATGATAGGGGTTCGGGATGGATATGGAACTTGTTGCTCTTATCCGATAACTATCTTTTTGCATACTCACCTGGGCACCTACGATCGCTTATTAATGCGTTTGTGTATTGTGATTTGTTACCCTGATGTACTACGGTAGCTTTTTGCTTTGTTCTGGTGATGTTTGAACGTGTTTGTAGATGCCTGGCGTTTCTAACAGCGGGTAGCTGATTGAACAACGAATCTATGAATGCGGAAAGTCATGCTTTGATGCACGTGAAATGAATGCGTGGAGGTGACGTAGCTGTCAATGCTGAAACTGACGTTCAGGTTCGAGCGAGAAAGTAGGAGACTGTCTTGGACTGTTGGGACGATCGATTGCATTGCGACCGAGCTGTCATCCAAACCACTCCCCTCTCCCTGTTCCCCACCTCGCTCCAATAACAACCAGCCAGCGCTGCACACGCGTTCACAGCCCAAGCTTACCCCAGTTTGTCGCTTAGGTTAGCGCTATTCACCTCCCGCGTGGACCCTTGTTCTTGGGCGGAACTACATCGGTGGGTGGGTCTTTGGCGGGACACAAGTGAGGCTGAACCTACGAAGGGCTGCTTGCCTGCGCGCTTACTTTCTTTTTCCTGCCCCATCAACCCTTCCGCTCCTACTCCACTTTTACCGGTCAGTTTGCCGGACGTATTGCGATCGACTGCAGCTGCGTATTTTGCGGGCGATTAGGCAGCAGAGGAAGAGAAAGACTTTAGAGGCCAAGACCGAGACTTACGTAGACGGCCGCGCATATCGATAAGGCGACGAGCGAACTTGCTACGGGGTGCTCTTTGCGATATCTGGAGGGAGTCGAGGAAAAGCATATACGATGGCGCCACGGTTGACGTTTATGGACCTTTCGGTCGATCTGAAGACGTTGATAGTCCAGCATGTGAGTCTCTGGGTGGATGGCGGGTTCAAGGTAGCAGAAGAAGCACCAGGCTGACACTACACCACGCAGATCAACCGCCCAACCGACCTCAAGAACCTCTGCCTCACCTGCAAACAACTCCACGAGATCACCGTCCGCCAACTCTACTACGAAGTAACCCTTGACGTCGGTTCACCCCACGACACGCGCCTCGCAGCCTTCCTCAACCCCAAGAACATCGGCCTACAACATGTCCGGAAGCTAGACCTCTACCTCGCAGATGTCCTGGACAAATGCAACCAGCAGCAACAAGCCAACTTTGCTATTCGCATGATCTTGGAGTTGCTACCAGAGAACCAGCTGGAGAAATTCTCGTGGCACCCGTGGTCGCCGTTCTCTGGAGACAACCTGGTGCTGCTGTACAAGAAGCAGAAGCGCATGCGGTGGATGGAAAGCATTTCGCTGGATCGCAATGTACTGCCAGAACTACAGAAGCTGCCGAATATCGAAACGTGTTTCCAGGAAGTACGGAAGCTTGGACTATACCCAGACTCACGCGAAGTGCTGGACTTTTGTCACTTCCTGTTGAAGAATGTGGCTGGGCGCAAGCTGGAGAAGATCACGCTGCATGCGAGCTTCGATGAGATGGATCCGACCGTTACTATGCGCGAGCTGAATGATACGGTCAATGCGCCTGGACTCATTACTTCGACCATGTTCAGCCATATGCAGCCGTTCGCAAAGTGCACGCCGATCACACTCAATGAAATAACGCTACAAAAGCTTCATCTGCGCTATGCTTCGGAAACATACTGCAAGTTGATTGACTTCCGGTCTATCAAGAGCATCCGCATCTTCGGCTGCTCTGGTGCTGATGCTCTCTTTGCAGAGCTCAGCAAAAGCTCGAAGCTGCCCGACAAGCTGGAGACACTGGAGTTCAAACACGATGATAACGCAGAAAACGACGGCTTAGGCGCTATCGACGGCTTCCTCGTTCTCGTCTCGGGTATCGAGACGCTCACTCTTGACCTCACTTACGTCAAGGCCTTACCAGCCGCCGCCGGCATCGTGCGCCACAGCAAAACACTCAAAAGCCTCAACGTACACGCGAGCACCGGTCCCGACAGCTGCGACGATGAGCTCGTCTACGACTACGCCTCCTTCTCACAGATCTGCAAAGACTGCACACTGCTGGAGCAGATCTCTGTGGCCTTTCCCGGCGTGAGCGTCATCCGCAGCAAGAACGACAGCTTCGTCAACTTCGAGAACTGCCTTGGCGACTTGCGCAATCTGGCGACTCTCAATATCACCACCTGGCCTACCAACAGCCCTTCATCGACTAAGCTACCACGCAAGATCTACGAACACTTGCTTGCTGGCTTGGCACAGCAGGGCTTCGACCGCAGCGCCGCCCATGCGAAGGAGAAGGATAGGAGTTCGAAGTTGGGTATCATCGCGTTTGGTTCGTCGGATAAGGTGTACGACCGCGAGGATAGCCAGAACCAGATTAGTATGTATCAACCTCGAAGCCATCAACCACCTTTTACTAACCCACCTTCTAGTCTTTGTCAAAGGCCGTCAAATCGACCCACTCGGTAACGAAACCTCGACGGCGGTGCAGATCGGATGGTGTTTGCGCAAATTTATCGACGCGGGTTCCAAGTCGGATATCTTGGACTTTTCGCTGTCGCGTAGTTCGCGGCCGCCAGCGAGGAGCTCGCCGGATAGCGATGATAGCGATTGACAGGGGGATGAGGTTGTCGAATGGGGGCAACCTGATGGTGATGATGGATGGTAGTGGTGTGAAGAGTGGTGGCGATGGGGGTTAAAGTTAAGAGGAACTGACTTATACGGTGGGTTGAGATGTTAGAGGCATGGTGATGCGAGCATATATACCAATTTGAAGGGATTAGCGGGCGTTGATACAGAAAGTCATTCTTTTTATCGATGTCGTCTCCGGTCCAAATGTCAAATCTGAGCAAAATGAACGCGTCCATGACATGTTTGTCTGCGCGATTCGTTCATCGGACGAACATGCGTTCGTGGATCTCGGAGTATACTCCTTTCGAGACGATCGACGCGCTAGGAGATTATCTGAATTGCGTCATTATCGGAAATGAAATCTGGACATGACAATATAACAACAGGTCTACGTTCATGCAGAAATGAGCACCATCACGCGTGGTGTAACGAGACTGGGGGTCCTGGAGAAGATGTTTTCGTCCTGCGGATCGTGCCTGCCCTAACATGATCTGTAGCTTGAAACAGCCTCTGAATTTTCATGCCATGAGCGTGCAATGTCCAGCACCAACTCTAAATCGTCCACGTCTTCCAATTGCTAGCATCTGGTCTTGTTACACTCAATCGCATACCGCGAGCGGTCTCAGGCCATCTCTCCTTGTCCCTGTATCCATCTAACCGCGTCGGTAATTGCCGCGTCTGATCGGACCGCGAAACCTGTATGCAAGTAAGCCTACTAGAAGCTCTACTAGACCTGTCACGTTCGGTCAGGCAGTTGATCGCGCCCTGTCGTCTTGATACATCTGGAAGCTACCGAGCAGTTGTTTGTTTAACCGGAAGCTAACGGGACATCAGCCAACGTCCTTCCCTCGTCACGGTAGAACTGCGGCTACGCCATGACTTCTTCTCCGCATGCGTCGCAGTATCCTGCACCACCAGACGGCCAGGACCCGCATAATTACACGCCCTTGTATCCCAACGGGCAGGTTCTCGACGGTCAGGCACCGTCGTCGCGCATAGCCTACCCGCAAGAAGCCGCATACCCGAAGCTCGAGAATATCAACGAGGTGCTCCAGGCCCAGCAGGCTCTCCAAGCGAACCATGCCTTGAATCCTCCGCTGCCGCAGCAGTCCAAGCCGAATCGCCTGCGCAAAGCTTGTGATTCGTGCAGCATTCGCAAAGTCAAGGTGGGCACATTTAGTCATCATACTGTGATAGACACTGACGTCTGTAGTGCGACGAATCGGGCCCGCCGTGTAGAGCGTGCCTCGCGCTGGAGATTCCATGTACCTTTGAGCGCCCGAGCCGACGACGCGGACCGCCCAATAGGCATGCCGAAGCGATCAAGAAGCGCAGGATAGGCGACCTGGACTCCGAGTCGTCGACGCCGCAGTCTCCTACCAATGCCGCCCATGCGCTGGCGCAACTGCAGTCGTCGCATCCAGCCCAGCTCTCTGCCGAAGAGATATGCGCCCTGCCCACCCTGAACGCCCTCATCGACGACTTCTTCACATTCATACATCCGCTATGTCCCTTTCCGCACGAGCCGTCGTTCCGCGAAGCATGGGGGCATAGGGAGGACCTGACGAATCCCTCGTTCCTCGCCTTGCTGGCGTCCATGATCGCGGTCCTCGTCGCGTCCTTTCCTCGAAAACCACGCCTACACCTCAACACCCAGACGCGACGCGAATACCCAAATCACCTCTCCCTCGTCGATAAGTGCCGGGACGTGTGCGCGCGGGCGCGAGGGCCTGGCTATCTCGACCGCCCGTCTCTGAACGTGTACGACGCGTGTACCAGCTACTTCCTCGGCTTGACCGGAGCCTACGTATTTCAATGGCGGCAACTGCGACTGTACCTGGCCGAGTGCCTGACCATCATACGCTCCCTGGGTCTCCATAAACCCGAGGCTCAGGGCTATACCTATCTTGGTGGCATGCCGAGTGCGTGGGGCTCGAACGGACCGAACCACGACGGCTCGAGAGAGTTCAAAGTAGACTACATCACCGAGGAGATTGGTCGGCGCGTCTTCTGGACGGTCTTTGTGGGTGTGCGGTACGTTTAGCATTCTCCCGGCGTCGACCATGACTGACTTTGACAGGACCATACAACAACTCGGCGCTTCTTTCGGAGAGCTGATGATTGCGCCTGCCACACCTACCGAGCCTCTACCACCACTCCCGCGAGAAGTCGACGATGTACACATATTTCCAAATGAGATACAACCGCAGCGCGAAGGAGTGGTCTCCATGCTCACTGGGTTCAACATCAACGTGCGTATCTTCCTGTCATACTCGTCGCTAGCAACGGCGGAGATGGCATTTGGCATTGATGAGATATTCGACTGGGATCGGCAACAACAGATCTTCACACAAAGCCTGCAGCGCTGTAGGCAGATTCTGGACAGCCTACCTGAGGTGCTCAAAGTCCGACCAAAGTCCAGCAGCAATAGTGGGCTCGAACAGCAGAAACCCTACTACCCGCCCATGCCAGAATACTCTGGGATGCGAGACCCCGCCATGGACACACATCACAAACCGGAAGCGCACGAACTGCGACGCTACGAGATCCAGAAAGCAAACATCTACGCCAGCCATCTGTCCACTCGCTCGCACCTCGTGGAAAAGTACTTCCTTCAACTGGATAAGTATCAGCGGTCGAAGGGCCAAGCTGGTGCGCAAAACACGTCCAACGTCCTCGCAGCAGGAATCGACAGGTTTGTATCCGGCACAACAACCGACGCCGACGCGCTCGAAAAGGCAATGTCAGAAGAGCGCGAACAAGTGGTCAAAGACCTCCTCGTCGTACTGGGCAGCATCGACATGGTCAACATGGAGCCCAACGGCGACTCCTTTGTAAGTCTCTACGTTTACTTGCAAAACTCAGATTTCCTCTACCCCGTCCATGAGATTGACGACTACGTCATCTCCATGTCGACACGTGATTTCTTTCGCCCAAACACCATCAGCCCGATCGCAAGCTTACGGTTCATGTCGACACAGACGCAGAAGATTCGCTCGATTGCTAGCACGCTGCTTGAGGTGCCCAAGGAGAGAAGGGGGAGTGTGGCGTTGCAGCATCAGGATTACCTTTACAAGTTTCTTGATATTTTGAGTAAGTTGGAGAGGGTGAGTCCTGAGGCGAGTGATCCGAGTGGCGCGCTGGATGAGGAGAGTGAGTTGAGGCTTTGGGCGGATTTGAGGGATCATCAGTTGAGGTTTCAGGAGCAGGGGGGTGTTTATGGGTTTTCGTGAGGGAGAGACATGAGGGAGTTTTACGACAGCGCCGGTCTTTACTGCGGAACGACGAGATCGTATCGGAGTATGCCGGTGCCGATGGTCGCTCACGAAGCGCAAGGTAGTATTGAGCACCAGCTCGAACGGAAGGAACGCAGCTACAGCGCCGAGTCTATTTTAGCATCGAGAGCCATGTCAGGAAGGTTTGGGGTGAAGATGTAACAGTAGGAAGTGTCATTGCTATCTTGTCGCAGTCATTGTTAGATACAGTCAGATATTTGTTGGCACAAAAGCCTCGTCATACTCAATCTGTTCACAAGTCCACCCCAGCATTCCAGTCCACATAAAGTCGAAATTGATCATGCATCATGAGTCTATCCAGGTATACAATATATGTACAAGCTCTTCTCCACTCAACACGTAAATGCCCTTAGAGTATGCCATATGCCCCAAGCCTAGTTCTACAGCTCCTGTTCCGTGCAACGTCTCGCACATGCTCTAGTGCTCTCCCATCTCATCTGCTTCCAATGATCTCCTCCTCTTCCCAGCACTTCCTCCCCCATCTACGGCACAACCACCACCCCAATACTCCCCGCCTGCCCCACCACACTCCTCGCCACACCCTCCAAACTCAACCCACTCAACCTCGTCTCGCCATGCTTAATCTTCGCAATCTCATACACATGCTTCAGACTAACCGTCCCCACAGTCCCCTTCACCGCATTGCCCACCGTCGGACTACTCGTTGATGTTTTCCCCTTCTGTCCGTCGTGGTTGTTCATGGGTCCCGGCACGTTTCCAGCTCCTCTTATCTTGTTCTTTGTTGGGAGCACGCCGGCGGCGGAGAGGAGGAGCGTTGCGGTCGGGGGTGTGCGGAGCTGGAAGTGGAAGGAGCGGTCGGGGCGGACGGTTATGCGCGCGGGGATGGGGGTGCCGGGGGTGTAGTGGGCGGTGCGGGCGTTGAACTCCTGCGGTGGGGTGTTAGTATAGGGTATGCGGCGATTGGGGGGATTGAGAAGGGTATGGATGGAAGCGCGGGTAACATCAATGGGTAGACTAAGTTTGAACAGAAGCTCTACTGCCGAGAGCGAAGTTCATTGATCCCATCATAGTGCGCAGAGAGGTATGCGACAATTGGAAAGATAATATACGTACTTTGCAGAAATCCATGCTCTTCACACCTTTACTTCCCAGCGCCGGACCGACGGGTGGCGAGGGCGACGCTTGCCCTGCGCCTACGATCAATTTGACGATTTGGTCTTTTGCTATTGCTTTTCGCGCCATGGTGGGTGGGATGCGGTTTGCGTTGGGGGTGGGCGCTGGGGAATTTGCGGAGATGGGCTCGGAGGTGTCGGTCACAGGGTTTTCTGAGGTATGTAGAGGTATGCGATTGACGCGTTGGACGTATGAAAATAGTGGGGATGCGATCAAGCAGTGATGGAGATATGGAATCTAGGTATGATGGAGATTCTGGATGTTGGTGGGATGGCGATGCTGCCTGTCGTCCCACGTGACGACGTGATGGAGCTAACAATCTACGCGTCGCACTTCCGCCACCTGCGAGCATTGATCAGCATTCCCGCACGACACTCCCTTTCCTCCCAACTCCCACCACATCGACCCGATATAGGCTGCAAACCTCCCCAGTGCCTCCTAGAAGTGTCAATTCCTTATGCATCGACCGAAGACTCTCGCAGCAGGCGAGGCCACCCCTGCGAAGCCCGCGGCGCGTCTTTATGGTGGCACACCTCAGTCAACCGAACGACTCATTAAGCCCTTCCGCTGTCCCGGCTCAGCAACAGTATCCAGTGTCTCCACAAAGCCTGCACGGAAGAGGAGGAAGGTCGATTACTCCGGTGCTGGCGGTGAAGACGGAGAGAGCGATAAGCCATACTCGAACGAAGACCGGTTAGCCCTCGCCACGCGAGACGCAAACCGATTTCCTGTCTTCAAGCCCAAAGATAAAGACACCGCCTTCAGAACCAAGTTCATCGTTCCTTTAGTCAACAAGGATGTTGGCGCCTATAACCCGAATCGACCAGCGCCGCTGCTTGGTATGCGTACTGGAACCGTCTTTGTTGCGCGACCGCTGCACGACCCCAGCGGAGAGTTTGCGATAGTACTTTACGATCCTACCGTTGACGACAAGCCGATACCGAAGGAAGAGGCGGAACCGAAGCTGAGTCAGACGGAGAAGAAGGAGATGGAGGCGCCGCTGGTACACAAGAGTTTGGCGGAGATATTGGGGTTGAAGAAGAAGGTGGACAACGAGCGACCGCGCGTACCGGTCGTCATCGATCCAAGACTTGCAAAGGTTCTGCGACCGCATCAAGTCGAGGGCGTGAAGTTCTTGTATCGCGCGACGACGGGTATGATCGATCCCAAGGCGAATGGGTGCATCATGGCAGACGAGATGGGTCTCGGAAAGACGCTGCAGTGCATCGCGCTCATGTGGACACTACTCAAGCAGTCACCCGATGCTGGCAAGTCGACGATACAAAAGTGCGTCATCGCCTGCCCGTCGAGTTTAGTGCGAAACTGGGCGAACGAGCTTATCAAGTGGCTTGGGAAGGACGCTGTCACACCCTTCGCGATTGATGGTAAGGCATCGAAGGAGGAGCTCATCCAACAAATACGGCAATGGTCGATCGCATCCGGACGCGCAGTTGTCAGACCCGTTCTCATCGTATCGTACGAAACGCTGCGCCTTTACGCCGACGAGTTTGGACAGACACCCATCGGCTTGATGCTTTGCGACGAAGGGCATCGACTGAAGAACGGTGACAGCTTGACTTTTACCGCGCTCAATAACCTGAACGTGCAGAGGCGAGTCATCCTTTCGGGTACACCCATTCAGAACGATCTATCAGAGTACTTCGCGCTCCTCAACTTCGCCAACCCCAACTACCTCGGCACGCGCATGGAGTTCCGCAAGCATTACGAGATCCCTATTTTGAAGGGTCGCGACGCGAACGGAACGGATGCGGATATAAAGAAGGGTACTGAGCGTCTCACCGAGCTTCTCGGCTTGGTCAACAAGTTCATCATTCGGCGAACCAACGACATTCTCTCGAAGTATCTGCCAGTCAAGTATGAGCACGTCGTGTTCTGCAACCTTGCGCCATTCCAGAAGGACCTGTACAACCACTTCATCAAGTCACCCGACGTTCAGAGTCTACTCCGCGGCAAAGGCTCACAGCCGCTCAAGGTCATCGGCATGCTCAAGAAACTCTGCAACCACCCCGACCTACTCAACCTCCCAGAAGACTTGCCAGGCTGTGAAGACAAGCTACCGGATGACTTTGTGCAGAAGGACGCGCGAGGCAGAGACCGCGAGGTCAAGACATGGTACTCCGGCAAGATGGCTGTCTTGGATCGCATGCTGGCTCGCATCCGCGCCGAAACCAACGACAAGATCGTCCTCATCTCCAATTACACGCAAACCCTCGACATCTTCGCCATGCTATGCCGCTCACGCGGCTACGGCTGTTTCCGTCTCGACGGCACCATGAACGTGAGCAAGCGCCAAAAGCTCGTCGACAAGTTCAACGACCCCGAAAGCCCCGAGTTCGTCTTCCTCCTCTCCTCCAAAGCCGGTGGCTGCGGTCTCAACCTCATCGGCGCGAACCGCCTCGTCCTCTTCGACCCTGATTGGAACCCCGCTGCCGACCAACAAGCCCTTGCGCGTGTGTGGCGTGACGGGCAGAAGAAAGATTGTTTCGTGTACCGCTTCATCACCACGGGTACCATTGAAGAGAAAGTGTTCCAGCGCCAGTCGCACAAACAATCTCTATCGTCTTGCGTCGTCGACAGCGCGGAGGATGTTGAACGCCATTTCTCACTCGACTCGCTCCGCGAGTTGTTCCAGTACCGCGACAATACTACGAGTGACACACACGACACGTTCAAGTGTAAGCGCTGTAGGAAAGAAGATGGAAGACAGGTTGCGAAAGCGCCGGCTATGCTTTACGGTGACACGAGTACGTGGAATCACTTTGTCAATGATGGCGAGACGGGGCCGTTGGGCAAGATTCAGGATTTGTTGTTGAGGCAGGAGACGGGCGATGGGTTGAGGGATGTTAGTGCTGTGTTCCAGTATATTAGTCATTGAGTGGGTGGTGGATGTTGTTTGCATATTGTGTTAGTGTTTCTAGCGTTCATGAAGCGTGGTGTTAAGATGGGTGGCGCTAGGTAGTGGGTTATGATAATGAATACGATATCTTTATGTTGGCGAGAATTGGGCACTATGGTTTTTGAACTCATGTCGCTCATGTTGGTATTGAGCATGGGCACTTTTCAGGCAAGCATCGCAGTTGCCAAAGCCTTCCTGTCGCGCTATGTTCACGACGCACACTCGCCTATCTCGATATGGCCCATATTCCTAAAGCGAACGTGTCGTGTAATCGCTGTTGCCTCATTTGCGAGAAAGCGTTCCAAGTTGCGTCATGTTGTTTGAAGTAATGAATCTTGGAACATGTCGCGTAATCGCTGTTGCTCCATTCGCGAGAACGCGTTGCGTCATGCTCTTTGAAACAATGACGGAGTCACATGAGATGAAGTGATCGATGTGGTTGGTGCGGCCAACCGTGTGGGTTGATTTGCAATCCGCGGTCCTTGGCGTGGTGGTTTCTTGGTTGGGAGGGAAGTTGCGACTTGATGTTGGGGCCGGACGGCAGGTATTGGGTACGGAGCAAATCGGCGAAGAGTTTCCAAGGTTGTGATTGTGGTTCATGTTCTACCGTTCATGCCTGATTCTGCCGCTTGTCGTAGGTTTTCTATAGACGTTGGTACTTTCTTTGTTTGGGTAGCAGATGGCGATGCGCTTCAACAAAGGATGTTGAAGGTGACATGGTAAGCTTGAGAGTATATGCCATTCTGTGCCGAAGTGCTGTTCAGCATTGTGACCATGCTATCGCTTGCCAGTATGGCGTATTTCTCCGAGACCAATAGGCCGAGAATACTGCCTTGAGCAGAACCATGGTGTTCGCTCCACTCATGCCAGGCACAGTAACAAACTATGCGATTACTTTCATGCTGATACGTGCCACATTCTCACCATGCGCAAGAGTTCCAGTCCACGACTACCATCCGTACCGTTCATACGCAAACTCACCTATCACCACCACTGCATTGTTCTCTCGTCCCCACTTTTACCTTTACCGTCCCTTCTCTTCACGGCAGCTGCTTGTGACGTAGCCCCACTCTTGTGACTCTTATACACCCGCCCGGGCATGCTTCAGCCAACTCACCTCTCACCTCTCATCCATGGTTCCATCGGTACCACTGTCTCTTACCCACCAGGCTGCTGTCCACGCTAGTCTCTCTGAGACGCCATATAGCTGGCTCCCCTCCCGCCTTCCTTCTTTCCTCCTACACTCTTCTTCCTCTCAACCTCCATCAGCCCACTCTGTGAAGACCAGCACCTGGAAAGCGTCTACCCTGAGGCTACAGGAACTTTTCATCTGACTAACCAACGAAACGTAAGGCGTTGTATCCTCCAGGCTCAAGTTTTGTCTGCGTCTTGCTGCGGACAAGTTGAGGATTTCACGGACTTTTCATCTGACGAACCAACGAAACGCACGACTTTGTATCCTCCAGGCTCAAGTTTTGTATTCATCTTGTTGCGGACAAGTTGAGGATTTCACGAACTTTTCATCTGACGAACCAACGAAACATACGACGTTGTATCCGCCAGGCTCAAGTTTTTGTCTTCATCTTGTTGCGGACAAGCCTCGTTGTAGTCGGCAACCGAAGTTTCCATCCCGCTAGCTAGCTCGCGCCACCTGGTCCGAGCTCCAACATTTCGTAGTCGAGCTCCACCATCCGAGTGAACCCTCCACGCCCACAAACCTCGCGCGCACACGCATACCATACCCTCGACTCGACACCACGCTCCCGCCGAATCGCGCGACCGCCAACACACTCGAACTACCGCACATCATGGATTCCAAGCGCCGCAAGACCGGCGACCAGGATGTCAGCGCCTTGAGGTTGGCGTCGCGCCAGAAATACCTTGCCGAACGCGAAGCGCAACAACTCGCCCTACTCCGCCGCCAGGTCGCCGAGGAAGCAGAAGAGGAGGAGAGACTAGGCAACAAGCTGAGCGAGAGAGAAAGAGCCGAGTTTAAGAAGAATCGTCAGACCCTGGAGCTGGCCGAGGCGCGAAATGCCATCGACGATTCCCGACTACAAGGTGGCTTTCATTTTCAAACGGACTCGGATGACCCCCTCCTGGCGGATACCAAGAGTAAAAACGACGTACTTTATCGTCGACACAACGATACGTATGACGCAACGACTGAATTCGCCCAGTTTGAAGCAGAACAACTACGTGCAAGTCGAAGTCAAATTAAGTCGTCTGACGTAACTTCAGACGAAAGCCAGTGGGAATTCGTCTTCGATACAGCCAACGAGGTGCGCTTCACAGCGGAGGATGTAGCTCGCATGGACCCTGCCAAGCAAGCTCTTGAAGCTCAACTCGATGCCGCGGAGAAGCGAAGTTTGTCAATCCAAGAAACTCGCCAATCCCTTCCAATCTTCAAGTATCGACAGGAGATCATCGATGCTGTGGCCAACCACCAAACCCTAGTGCTGGTTGGAGAGACTGGTTCCGGAAAATCGACACAAGTGCCGCAATTTTTGGCGCAAGCGGGCTATACGAAGAATGGTGGGATGATCGCGGTAACCCAACCACGACGTGTGGCCGCCATGAGTGTTGCCAAGCGCGTAGCAGAAGAGTATGGCTGCAAGCTCGGCAACGAGGTTGGGTACGCTGTGCGATTTGAACAGAAGGTAACCCCTGACAAGACTATCCTGAAGTTTGCCACGGACGGAATTTTGCTGCGCGAGGCCTTAACAGACCCGCTCCTTAGCCAGTACAACGTGATCATGATCGACGAGGCACACGAAAGGTCTGTCGCTACTGACCTCCTGCTTTGTCTTTGTCGCGAAGTTTGTCGAGCTAGACCGGAATTCAGACTTCTCATCCTCTCCGCCACCATCAACGCCAAACAGTTCTCGGATTACTTCGATTCAGCCCCGCTCTTTTCAGTTGAGGGACGCTCTCACCCGATTGTAAGTTAATCCCGTCGAGTTATATATCTGGCATATACTAATCTAGCTCAGGATATCCGTTACACCATAGCTCCAGAAGCAAACTACCTAGCCGCAGCATGCACGACTGCTTTACAAATCCATCTCGCAAGCCCGCTAGACGGTCACATCCTCGTCTTCCTTACTGGCGAGGAAGAAATTCTAGCTGCTGTGGAAAATCTCGAGACAACTATGAAGAAACTCGGGAGCAGAGTACCGGAGCTCATTGTTCGTCCCCTGTATAGCGCGCTATCCAGTGAAGCTCAAGCGAAAGTGTTTGAGCCGACTCCGCCCAATGCTAGGCTCGTTGTTGTTTCAACCAATATTGTAAGTTTTACCCATACCTGGATTGATGAAGAATATGTGCTAACTTTGTACGCCTAGGCTGAGACATCAATCACAATCGACGGAATCAAGCATGTCATCGACTGCGGCTACGAGAAGGCCCAAACTTACGACCCCGTCAGCAACGTCAGTTCGTTGACTATCAGCCCTATTTCTCGAGCATCTGCGAACCAAAGAAGTGGGAGAGCTGGAAGAACATCACATGGTTAGTAACGCTCCTGTACAAATTATGAGACAGATGCTAATTTCGTACATCAGGATACGCATACCGTCTTTACACGAAACACGCTTTCTACAACGAGCTCCCCGAGCAAACAGAGCCTGAGCTGCTCCGTAGTAACCTCGATTCCGTTGTGCTCATATTGAAAGCTCTGGGAATCGACAACCTCCTCGAGTTCGAATTTTTGTCGCCACCGTCAAGTTCTTCTTTGATTCGATCCTTGGAATCGCTCTACGCTCTCTCGGGACTGGACTCAACTGGGAGGTTGACGAAACTTGGACGGAAGATGGCAGAATTACCGCTCGACATCAGGCTTTCGAAAGCTCTACTTGAATCGGAGAAGTACAACTGCCGCGAGGAAGTGCTCAGCATCATAAGCTTGCTCGGGGAAAGTGCATTATGGCTTCGCCCTCGAGACAAGAAGGTCGCAGCTGATGCGGCAAGAGCGAGATTTGCAAGTACCGAGGGCGGCGATTTCATGACCTACCTCAACATCTGGATCCAGTACGAGGAAAGTGGCTTCGATAGTCGTTGGGCTACTGAGAATTTCCTCCAGTGGCGATGTCTCAGTCGGGCTAGGAACGTTCGCGATCAGCTCCAGAATCTTTGCGACCGCGTTGAAGTACCGTATTCGAGTTGTGGCAGCACAGATCATGTCGCCATCCGGAAGTGCATAACTTCGGCCTACTTCGGCAACGCTGCGAGGCTTGGGCGCGATGGGCTGAGTTACCGCACAGTATCGAACAACGGGATGACCGTATTCATCCACCCCTCCTCGAGCTTGATCGAAAACCGGCCAAAATGGATTGTCTTCTACGAGATCGTAGAGTCGTCTAAGACTTACGTACGATCCGTCCTACCCATCCAGCCAGAATGGCTGGTCGAGGTGGCACCTCACATGCACACTGAGAGCTCGATAGCCAAGCTCGGCGATAACAAGAAGATGCCCAAGGCGACGGCGAAGATGCTCAAGGAAAGATAGAAGGGAGGCTATGGGGATCAGATGAGCGTTAAGACGAGCATGACTTGGGGCGCGGCCCAAGTCTTTGACATAGCAACTCAGAAGCATGCTGGGTAGAAGAGGTCGATTTACCATGTTTCACTTCCAACGGTGCGCTTTACAAACCAGGTCATTTTTCGACATGCGTGGTTTGTGGTACATAGCAACGTTTGCTATCCCGGAATGCCTTGCGCACAAGGCTGCGATGTTCATACGATACTGATCTTGCGAGATCGAGGAAATGGCGTTATGGGAGGAAGAAGGATGGTTTACTGTATTCGATATGATACCCCATTTCCTAATTGTTTGCTATGGCACCTTCGGCTTTTAGCGTAGCATAATGCATGGAAGACTTCAAGTGCACCAATATCTACTTGTTGGTACCGTGAAATGCTATGGAATCTTGTGTGGTTGTAGTAAAGAATGAGTCTTGGGGCGGTTAATAGAGGTGGAAACCGGCCAGGAGTACAAAGCATGCGTTCCAAGGTTGTTTATGCTGCACTTCCATGATAAACAACAAACTTATGTACATAGCGAAAGCAAGTAGCTGCGGATACAATAAAAGTTTACGACAGGTTAAGGTATGTTTGAACCTTGGTATGAGAATGCATCTAGCAATTTCGTTCCATTCGAAGATATCAAGTCCACTCGACACCGCATGGCTGACCTTTGACATCTAGATACTCCACTACGGCTAACGTTGTATGCTTCAAACGGGTACATAGAAGTGAGTATTCATGCTTTCACCTTCACGGTAGTCTCATCGCACACCGCAGATTTGGTCGGAATGCAGCTAGAGACTTCGTTACGACTCACATCGTATGCTTCAAACGGGTATATCGAAGTACATATTCATGCTTCAAACTTCGCGGCAGTCTCATCGCACTCTGTAGATTTGGTCGGAATGTACCTACAAACGTCGACATGACCCATATCGTATGCTCCAGACCCATGCATTAGAACGTATACTTCCGTGTCTGTGCTAATGTAGTAGGCAAAGCCGACATATGCCAAGCCAAGAAGGTCCATAATACGTCGTCCGATTAGCGAGATAGCAGTCAGAAACCGGATCATGACCTACATCATGTGCTTCAAACCTACACATCAGGATGTATTCTCCCGTGTATACTTCGATGTAGTAGCCCAGGCCGAAATGTTCTAAGCCAGGAAAGCCCATAATACACTGTCAGATCAGCAAGATAGCAGTCGGAAACGGAATGATAACCTACACCGTGTTCTCCAAAGCAACACATAGAAGTACAGATCTACTTCGTAGTCTTAGAGTAGTCGCCTGGGTCTATCACCGCAGCGCGCACCATCAGGGAGCTGGTAGGGGTAAGATGGCAATGTCGTTCGCTGAGAGGCTGTTAGAGGCCTCTTGACTGCTTTCACAGCGTCTTTGCGGTGTTGTACGCCATGGATCGGCTGTGTGAGCGATGCGAGTAGGTGAGTGTTTCACGCTTTTTTAGCAAATCAAAATATCCCTTTGGTGCGGGAGAGCGGTATGTATTGGGCTCACCTTTTACAGCTACTCCTGACAACCCTCCTGTTGACGCTGGTGGTGACGCTGGCTGTTGTTGCTGCTGTCGTCGTTGAGATGAAAGCGACGACCTCTTGACAGACTCAGAATTTGACATCAATCACACTCTGTTAGCCTAACAACCCCTGATCGGCTGTCATATCGCTGGCAGCTTTTCGCAAGTGTTCAAAGATATGCGCTTTGTGGTTGTATGCGACATGGAAGTATGAGACGAGGTGTGGCGTTTCTTACGCTCTTACACGAGCACCTTGGGGCCTGCGCAACTCTCAATCTCGTTTCCAGGAATCGCGACGCCGCATCCAGTATGCGGCTTGAGTTGATTCCAGCTTTTTGATGCTTTTTGCGATGCGAGTACCGAAGAGACAGACTTGTCTAGAAGGATATTGGCCTATTGTTTGTTGAGCATTCGTCTGTCTGTGACTCGAGTTGGTGAAAACGAGAAAGTTGGAACCGGCTTCAGCAAGTCTTCGAGCATGGTTGCGACCTACATTGGCGTACGACCTGCTACATAAACGCTACCCTAGCACTTGTAGTCGCCTCGCCGATCGGAAGAGATGCCGAAGAATACCTGGGTTGAGGCTGTAGTCGGCAGATGCAAAAGGCGGTTGTCGCGTGTACTCAATGCTCGTACCACCGAACCGGAGCTGAATTGGGCGGCTGACCTCGCAAGTCAGATAGTGTAGGAAGGGTTGATTGGTGCACGATACGGTGCGCTGTCACCCACGAAAGATACATGCGCTGGTGATGACACTGCCAGGCCTCATGTCGGAGATGCATGTTTCCAGCATGCTGTATAGACTGCGAGAACCGCTCACAACAATACCCACTGGCACATTCGACGTGGATCTATTCGGCAAACCTGTTTATCCTACCTTTGAATAAACTCGTAGCTTCTCTATTAGTCGCCTTGCTTATACCTAGATCTACTATCTTTAGATGGTTTCTAGCATACGAAGTATGTCGAGAAGCTCGTTCACCAGTATGCAACCTACACCAGCATATATCCCATACTCCAGAACTATCCCGGGGCTCTTCACGAGCTTCTCTTGCTTATATGCCTTCGCAGGATCAACTTGGGCGAACATGCAACCGCCAAGTACCGTGCCATCACGCGCGGTGTTTGTGTCCCATATGCCAGCAGTCCAAGGCACAAGGTCGGGTCGCATCTGCCGCAAGAAGATATACGTGTCCTTGATAACCTTTTGTCGGAAAGGCATGTTGTTGTACAGCTTCGAAGTGCAGAAGACTTTGATGTGGTCATCAGCCCTCGGCTCCGGTTCGGTGTAGTCTTCGTTATGGGCATCTGATGCGAGCAGGATAGGCGCATTGACGGTCCCGATTCGTGCGCGCTCTCGCAGTGGCGCGGACGACGCGGGTGGAGACGAGGGTTGGATAGGCTCCGTGCCCGCACCGTTTCGGTCTTCGATATCAGCATGCACTGGAAGAATCTTCTGGTTGACTTCTAGTGCTAGGGGAGGCAGCGTCTCAGGCAATGTAATGCCGGCCCATATTGTGTGGAACGCTCGCAGTCTTTCCTCGGTGGCGTGTAGGCCTCTGAATTTTGTTCCACTAGGACAGGGCTATGTACGTTAGATAGGCTTTACTGTCATATTGCTGTCGTTCTTACACGCTGCCGTGTAGTAGTATGGAACGTCCGAGTTGGTGATTCGTGACGGCATTATAAATGATGTGTAGCTGGGTGATCTAGTGTTGTCTCCGTGATATTCGGCGTGCAATTGAGGTTTAACGGGAGTGCTTCGCGGATTGAGAGTAGATTGTAATTTTAAGCGGGATGTAAATCTCAAAGTGTGTGTGGGCTAACACCGTGCCAGCGTCTATTTTACGAAGGAATATCGTGTCAAACACTCGAAGCCTGTCCTCGGTGGCGTGCAAGCCTCGGTATTTCGTTCCTTCCAAGGTTGGGGACGCTTGCACCTGTGAATATGGAAGCGCACGTGGCGAAAGCAAACACCAGCGAGGCGGCTACATGGGCATCGGCGTCGGTCTTCGAGAATGCGATACGCATAGAAGCTGACTCCATGCACAGTGGAGGAATGAGTGGAGGTTCCAGTGGGTTGATGTAATAGTTTGAGGTTCTATTGATTTAGTGCACGATTGTATCCAAGGCTGTGGATGCGGTACCTTCGTATCGTACCCTCGCGATGAAGGGAGGCAGCTGCGATGAAAAGCGTTCCTCCCCAGAACCCTGATCTCAGTTTCAGCTCTTGAAAACTCAGGATGTAGACGCGTATAGAGAGAATTTTCAGAATATTGATGATGATGTTGTTGTGCTTTCTGACCCAGCTTGAGGTTACCTCCCGATAGATCCTTCCTCTGCCAAACTACGCATCTCTGGCCGACACAGTAAGTCCAAATAAGACCGGATGAACCTTTGTAGCACGCAACGGCGTCTCCTTGGATCATGGTTGGGTAACCGGAAGATGACAAGCTGACCCCGGCTGTAAGATGGTGGTATAGTAGAAGCGCCAGGCGAAAACGCGCACGTATGCGGCATCAGTCTGCCTAAACGAGATCGCAATATCACGGCTCCCGGCACGACGCTTTCGTGAAGAAAGCCCACCCCAGAGTCTCGCCATCAATCCTACGTTCTAGAACAGCGCGGCACACGTCGCGCAAGCCACGCGTCAACCCTCTCCCCAAGCAAAAAAGCAATATATCCGCTCGCCTACCCAAGTCCTGCAAACAACATCAGGAATGGATATACGCGCCGTGACTAAAACAAAGGATCGCAAGAGCCGAGATGCCGTCAATTTATTGTTGGGTTGGAGACAAGGTGACGCGTTCGGTATTTTGGCGTTCTTGGGGAATGCACGGGCGGATGAATGGGTGGGGGGCCACATGCCAGGCACGAGTTGCGGCAGGGTAAGGCGGCCTGTGTAATTTCCCGGTGCAGGGTCTCAGGGGCGACCCGACTTGAACGGTGGTTCGTGTGCGAGGATCAGGGTAAAGAATGAAAGATTGTCAAGACGTCAGTACATGGGATGTTTTTGGAGGCGGTGATGGTATCGGCTGTCGCAAGATGGTTTGCATAGGAACACAGATGTAAAGTTACGATCAAATGCATTGATGGTAAAATATGTACAGAAGGGTATCAGGTAGACAGTCAAGTCGTAAAGTAAAGGTGGAAATCATGTCATTAGGATAGCCAACTCTTCTCAGAACAGGCAAAGAGTCTAGGAACAAAAAAGACCACCGGGGACCACACGACTCCCTCCATAGGGCCAGTAAGCATTCCAACCAAGGCGTATTACAATACCAAGTATATCGATCCATCGAAATGCCGCTGCGACTTGATTGCGCAAGGAAGCAAAGGGCTCGTACCACCAACACCGCGCTCCCAATCCTAGACTGAATCGTGATGCAGAGTCGAAGTCGTAACCCGTGAAGCCATGTTTTATTTCCTCCTCTTTCCACAACTCGAGAAGAGACTAGCAAGGACGTGGAGGACCGCGTCCCGACGAATCACTCAAGAGCGAACTGCTTACAAGAAAGCAGCGAGGGCACCAGCGATGGCGAAGAAGCCAACGGAGACCTTGCCGGCGGCACCGGTGAACTCAGCGGGCTTGGAGGCGCTGGGCATAGCACCAGTGCCAGTAGGAGCAGCAGTTCCGGCAGGGACGTGGGGAACGGTGCCGTTGGAGGAGGGGTAGATGGGAGAAACCGGGGTGTAGGCAGGCGCAGTGTGCTCAGCAGCCGGGACGGAAGCAGAGGTGACAGTGGGCATGGGGACAGCCGGGATCTCGGGGGTAGGGGTGTGGACGTAGGTAGCAGTGTACTCAGGGATGCTGAGGGTGGTGCTGGAGGAGATGGTGTAGGTGGAGACACCGTAGGTGATGGTGGTGGGCTCAGGGCAGACGTAGCTGGTGGCGTGGACAACCTCGGTGGTGGTGTAGGCGGGCTTGGAGGCAGAGTAGACGGGAGCCATGGAGCTGGCCTCGTAGGCGGGCTTGGAAGCCTCCATGGAAGCGGAGGGGGTCTCAGCGGGGTAAGACGGGTACTCAGCAGCGGAGGAGGTAGCGGCCTCGTAGGCGGGCATGGAGCTGGAGGCCTCGGGGGTCTCAGCAGGGTAGGCGGGGTACTCAGCAGCGGCGGAGGAAGAGGCCGGGGCAGCAGGGTAAGCCTCGTAAGCCTGGGGAGCGGCAAGGGCAACGGCGGCGAAGCCAGCAATGACGGCGAAGGAACGCATCTTGATGTTTGGTTTGGGGGGGTGGGTATTAAAATACGGAAGGTATTAAGTTGTAAGGCGTTGGAGGTCGTTGAAAACGAGTGTGATCGGTGATAACCGTGTATTAGTGAGTGTAGTGAGTGTGTGGTGAGGAATCAACTGAGGAGCAGCTGGCGAAGCCATTATATAGAACTATACACGAGCTGGCCTTACCAAGAGCGCCAGCGTCCATGAACAGGGGGCATTGGCGTAGTTGCATTCGGTTGGCAGTATCGCGAGTGCTCTGGCGTGCCGGTGGCGCCGTTTGGTGGACTGTGCCTGGCATAGTACGAAATAGGGGAACCTGTGGAAAGCTTCGACATGGGCCGTTGTGAGCTGTTTATTGATGGAAGTCGAGCGGGCCAATCAAGAGGTGGATTGCGTGCAGATACGAAATGAGGTTGACAATTTCCCCTGCCAAGGGGCCTTGCCGCCCCAACACATCGCCCGTCGTTCTAGCTGCTTTTGCCGCAAGCGTTCGATTTGTGCACGCGGAACATGTTCAATCGCCCGGTAGGTACCTATCTCCGGTTCGTGATCCGCACCTGCATGTCAGCTCTGAGCAGAGAAGAAGCCGCGCGACTGTATCGAGATGTAAGACACACTGGCAGCTGGCATTGGCGCCGAGCCGCTGACTGTGACAAAGAACACCTGAACAGAGCGACGATTAGGGGCTCCTTGCCAGAGGCACTGGAATTCCGATCAGAGTGGAGATGGGTAATCGTGACAACATCTGGAGCAATCCCCGCGTCTGCGCAAAAATAGCTTCGCTGATAGGAGAAGGGCCAGATTGGACCGGTCTGATGCTGGCGAGGTCGTTGGTTCACGATGGACTGGGGACGTGCGGGTTCCTGCATTGCCCTTGCATCTAGACCTCGACTAGATCCAGCGAAGGGCCGACAGCCCGTCCAGTGTTGCGAACTATTGTAGCCATCGAGATGTAGCGGAAAGCTGTTGCCGGAGCTGCCGTGATCTCGAAGGTTGGCCAGCTTTCAGCTCTGTCTCAGCTCTTGTCATACGGGGGCTCTTCTCGCGAGAGTCATCCACCCACAGTATTCCTTGTAACATCAGAAGCGCAATCTCGCATCTGGCATTCCTCAGGAGAGGCGCATGAGCTTAGTGAGCGCCACAATGGTAGTCGCATGTCACGCATTAAGCGCGGCACCTACTTGGGCGCAGGTGTTTCGTCGGAGAACGAATGACGCGCTGCTCAACACGAAGAATCCCGATCCTTCCGCGTTATCATATCCCACAAATAGTGATCATTTCCGCGCAGAGCTAGAGAGCGTCGCGTCGATAAAGGGCGAGGCGTTGTGTGGTGTTAGTGAGTGCTACGGTGAGCGAGAGTGGGTGTTCCTGTCGCTTCTAGCCCGTCCCGCCGAAGTGTTGCCGGTCAGGCAAGAGCCCCTCGATAGCTCAACATTGCCTTTGACATTACCACACAGCAACTTCACCTCACCACCTCGCCGCACAATCCCGTACTGTGCATTACCGGAAGGCACAATAGACGGAAATTTCACATCTTTGTCGCGAGCGTCTCGCACTTTTCCGAGCGGGACTAAGCTTATCGTCTCGATCCACGCGAAGGAACGACTGCCTGACTGGATCAGATGAAAGCTGTGCGACTCTATCAAATCCGATAGCGAGATGCCAAAATCATCTGGCGCTGTGCCGAAGGGGTGGGATGGGCAAACCATCTACCTTCACGCACCCTCGTACTCCAAGAAGCTTTGTAGAGACAAAGTTAGCGCACTTATATTGCAGAAGTCCGATCTACCACCCGATACACAGGTTTACAAGCCGAATGGGCCGTATTCGAACGTCAAAATCACACCCGTCACAGACTCTGCGCATCCTGCACACGGACAGCACGCGCTTTATGCTAACCAGCATCTGCCACCAGACTCGTTCATTCTGCCGTACTTGGGCTACGTGCACGATCAGACTGACATTGATGAAGCATCCGACTACGATCTCTCACTCGACCGCGAACTAGGCATCGGTGTTGATGCATCCAAGATGGGCAACGAAGCACGCTTCATCAACGACTACCGAGGCGTCGCTGCCGCACCGAGCGCCGAGTTTCGCGATATATTTGTAGACATTGGGAACGGAAAGGTGGAGAAGAGAGTCGGAGTCTTCGTGCTCAGCGCTGGCAAGAGCGGAAAGAGAGCGAAGGGCATCGGACGTGGACAAGAGATCCTCGTCAGCTACGGCAAAGGCTTCTGGTCAGATCGACACTCTACTGAAGAGTGACACGCCTGTACCACACCGCTCTCATGTCTCGCAACATGTCGCATCACTTTCATGTACATCCGCTGAATGCCGGCACACGTTTGCTTTTCGGTCAATCCCTTCTACAGCGGCCGGGCGTCGATTGACGACGCCGTATGATCTGCGCGGTCAGGCCCTCGATCTTCTAAGACCAACCCCGACCAGGCAGTGAGGTATTTG